TTCTGGTATATAGCAAATTTTTGATGGGACGTTGCAAAATTTCTGATTCTTTAAATTTTTTTGTAGTATATTTGAAATTTCTGGTACTAGACAATCATGGAAATTTGAAATATCCTGAAATTTCTGGTAGTTCATTTATTTAAGTGAACTGATGATTCCGTAGACGCACGAATTGTGACGTATATATTGGCGGGAGACACCTCATCAGTCTGTTCAACAACAACCTGTTCAGCAACCTCCTCACCCATAACAACCTTCTCAACAACAACAACATCCTCAACAGCCATAACCTCCTCAGCAGCAGGCTCCACAACAATCTGCTCAATCAAGGAGCAGGTGCCTCCACGAGATCATGTACCTCCTCGATAATAAAAACTCTAGCAGTTCGCCGTCGCGATGCGCGGAACTGCATCTGCAGCTCAGTCAACTGTTTCCGATGATAATCAGTCATAACATGTCGTCTTGTCCGTAGCTCGAATGTAGTGTCTCATCAGTCCAATCTTGAGCTTGCGTTCTATCGGTCAACCTGTCAGCAAAGGAAGAAAAAATAGTAAAAAAATAAGTGCATTATCTAACACTCAAAACTATTTAATATATTAATTACTGTATATTATTATTTTTTAGAACCAAACAAAAATTAATATCAACACTCAAAACAAAACAAATTATTTTTCAAAACAAATTAGTGCATTATCTAACACACACACACACACAAGTGTAAGTTAAAACTTTCTAATTCTATAAAAGAAATTTCGATAGAAATATCTTAAATTTCTTACTATTTTACAAAATTTTCAGTATGCATTTGAAATCTTCGATACTGCCTTGTAAATTTGGAATTTTCAGTGTGATACTAGTTTCAGTGTGATACTATATATTTTGAAGAAATATCTTAAATTTCTTACTATGAAAGTGAACATCGGGAAATTTCAATATGAAAGTTGGGTTATTTTCACACACTTCCCCAAGTGTAAGTTAAAACTTCCTAATTCTATTAAAGAAATTTCGATATAAGAGTAAATACAGTAACCGAAAATTTCTGGTTATAATATAATGGAAATTTTTGGGGCGAAATACTAGATATTTTGAAGAAATATCTTAAATTTCTTACTATTTTACAAAATTTTCAGTATGCATTTGAAATCTCCTATACTGCCTTGTAAATTTGGAATTTTCAGTGTGATACTAGATATTTTGAAGAAATATCTTAAATTTCTTACTATTTTACAAAATTTTCAGTATGCATTTGAAATCTCCGATACTGCCTTGTAAATTTGGAATTTTCAGTGTGGTACTAGAAATTTGAAAAGTTTGAGAAATATACTACCCACAACCAAAAAAACAATTCGGGGACGAAAATCAAAGTGAACATCGGGAAATTTCAAAATTCCGATATAAAAGTTGGGTTATTTTGGTCTTTTTACACACTTGGGAGAGTGTCAAGTTAAAACTTCCTAATTCTATAAAGGAAATTTCAAAATTTCGATGTAAAAGTAAATACAGTAACTGAAAATTTTTGGTTATAATATAACGGAAATTTAGAAATTTTTGGGACGAAATACTAGATATTTTGAAGAAATATCTTAAATTTCTTACTATTTTGCAAAATTTTCAGTATGCATTTGAAATCTCCGGTACTGCCTTGTAAATTGGGAATTTTCAGTGTGGTACTAGAAATTTGAAAAGTTTGAAAAATATTTTGGTTGGGTTATTTTGGTCTTTTCAGACACTTGAGTGAGTGTCAAGTTAAAACCTCCTAATTCTATTAAGAGTATGAAGCTAATGACTTATGCATATACTACGAGTAACAAGAACAATGTTTCAGCTACATATACTACAAGTAGTTAGTATAAGAACAATTTTTCAATTGGGATAAGGTGAACTTGCATTCTGATGTTCATTTGAATGGTATCTCCTTTCTTAGTAGTTTGTAAACAGGTAAATCATGACGTTCTTATCTATACTAAACTAGGATAATGTCGTTAACATCTCATTTAGGTTTTCATTACTTTCTTTTGGAGATTTCAGTAGAAATGTGTGTTGACTTTACACTAGTAAAGATTTGTTTTGATTCTCCTGTCAGTGAGGAAGAATCAAATAAACAAAATTGGGAGGGACTTTTATGTTTCACAAAGAGAAGTGTCAACGAAGATATGAGATATAATAATGGATTATATTGAAGGTCTTAACGCCCTCTTACTCAGGTCTGTCGTGGTTTTAAATTGTAGCCTACATCACAATTGCACCTATAATATTGTGGATGTTGTTGCCTCCACAACCACATCGGACCGTCATTGCAGTGTGATTTTAAAATCATGTCTCCGGTTGTATTAGGAACTACACCATACAATTTCAATCATGTTTCTTCAAGTATTTTCATCAAAAATCAAAATATTAGAATCCTAAAACTCAATTTACTTCTTATGCAATGAAAAAACTTAACATTAAGTATATGTCATCTTTGTATTTCAAACACTTCACTATAAAAATTCACACTGCAACAGCCATAATACGCTTCACAACAACTGTAATGACCACAATCATAACACCCATAACAACAACCATATCCACAACCACAATTTAAAACCATGGGTATTTTGACGATCTGTCTTATTTCTCGAGGCATTTGAACCTTTTACTTTGTGGGTTGTCTTTGTTCGGTCTTCGTTGATTGGGTTTCAGTCTGGTCTATAACATTAGTCTACAAATGAGAATACATATCTTTATGAGAATGGAATATGAACCAACTCTACAAGGAAGTTATTGTTGGACCATTTGCTCGTGTAGCACGAGATTTAGAAAATAATAATAAATAATATTAATTCTAAGAAGTGGTTATATTCTACATAATGTTACACAAAGTCCATGTGCATAAATTATATATTGTAATGGGTTCTATTGTCTAATTGGGAGATACACGTAAGATGAAAATGAGTCTTAAAAAAGACCGACATGAATTATATTTTGAACACCTTTAAGATATGATTGATTGTAAAGAGTTTCATGCAAAATCATAATTTAAGTTATGATGAAACATTTTCTTCAATCACAATGGTATGCTTTGACTACAAGTTCTAGCAGATGAAGAACGAGGACACAGTCATTATATGAAATGGTCTCACATTTGTGTATGACACATATATGGTTTCATGATCTCAAAATATTTGCTAATCTAGTATAGTATATAGGAGACATACTAATAATCGTAACAAGTTCTCTATACCACAAATGTAGAACATGATTAAGGAAATGGCTTGGATAAGATGCTTAGACGATATTTTCTAAAAGGTTAAGAATCATAGTTTGTAGAGATAGATTGTGTACCACAATCTTAACATAAGTACATATTGACGAAATGTTGAGACACCTAATATGTATGGCCTCTCATTAATATTATTGCATGTGTAACATGATATTGTGTTTGGTAGATAATTCCTTACCTCGTTGATGAGATAAGGACATATGAAATCATCGATATGCTTTAGCGATTAAATTAATCATGTAAACAATCATATGTACTTCACTAGATGCTTCATATGCTATTATCATAAATTGATTAAATTTTTTATCACTAGGTCAATATCAAAATATTAAATGAGTATCTTAAAAAGATCTGGTGTTATTTTCTTTAGAGAATGCGAGAATAATCATTCTAAAGGAGTTACAATGATGTTATTCCAAAGTCGATGAACAATATGCTCACATCTTAGTATAAAATAAATTTTATACTCACATGACAATTGTGTAAGTTTTAAAAAGGGCTTTAGACAATTGTCGATTCTAGTACAAAAGTTAATTATATGATTTTGGATTGCCTTGCTCATAATTGAGCAGAAAATTGAGTTTATTGTTTTACATATCTCATTAATTTCATTTACGATGATAATGGGTTGATATTGCAAGTAAGGAAGACTAGATCCATATATGCATACTTTAACACTTTATTTTTTTATATTTATGATAGAACATAAAAAGTTGATATTAGAAGAGGTGTATAGTACCAACATGGAAAAGAATAGATGATACTTGATGTACACACTGGAAAGATAGATATTAAGTTAATATATGATTGACTCTAGCGCTAGTGGAATATTGTTAAAGTAATCCCTAATGGTCAATCAATATTGGTAGTATTTACTTTTGTATCATATATTAATATATATATATATATATATAATTAGACATTGTATTTATTGTGTTATTAGTATATGACATGTTAAAGTCCTTAAATAGTTAGTTTATTTAATAACACATTAAGTGTGACTTAATTGTGATATCTCATTAAACATAAGTATGTTATTCTTAAAGCATGTGTAGTCAAGTTTTACTATCACATATGACAACAATGATGAATAAAGAATATTATGTGAGTAGATTGATGACTATATTTTACGAGTCATGGATATGACATATCAAGTCTTCACATATGTATAAATATTAAGAGTAATATTTATACTGGATAGATCCACAATGAGAATACTACACAGTGTATTCTGTAAGTTTCATAATTTATTCTCATAATGATGATGGTGCATGTAACCTTTCAACCTAAAACACTATGTCAAACAAGGGATTAGACAGCGCTTTTTTAGGCCTTTAACAGCGCTTAAAAGCGGTGCTAAAACCTCCGCTGCTAAAGGTATAGACAGCGCTTTTTTTTCAATCACTTTAGACAGCGCTTGGTAAAAGCGCTGTCTATTACCCCCCCTTTAGCAGCGCTTTCCCTCATTTTTTTTTTATTTTTTTTTTCAATCACTTTAGACAGCGCTTTTCATGAAAAGCGCTGTCTATTACCCCCCCCTTTAGCAGCGCTTTTCCTCATTTTTTTTTCAATCACTTTAGACAGCGCTTTTGAAACACAGGTTCAACAAGTGTTGTAAATTGAAATAAAATATAGAAAACAACAAAGCATAAAATAAACTAAAAACCGTTTACAAATACTTCAATGATCACAAAATAACTGTCTAAAATCTAGAACCAAAGCAAAACCGGGTAATAACTTAGATAATGCCAATCTTGTTTGCAACATCCAACGCATCGTAATCAGGAGTCAACCTAACATAGGCCTTCTTGGTGCCATCAGGCCTGCAACAACAATTTCAGATTTCATAATTCAAGTTTAGAAATTGCATTTGAAATCTCATTATAAATAAACATTACAGATAGTACACTTATGCATTCTACCTAGTGTTTGCTCTAAACTAGTTCGGGGTGTCTGTGCTTCATGACATTAGCAACAATGAGTTATCAGACAATTTATTTGCAATATGCGCTAACCTGATCAAGGTGTTAACCTTCTTAGCCTGGATGTCATACATTTTCTTGACTGCATCCTTAATCTTCTTCTTATCAGCACGCAAATCCACAATGAAGACCAAAGTGTTGTTATCCTCAATTTTCTTCATGGCAGATTCAGTGGTGAGTGGGAACTTCAAAATCTGGTAGTGATCAAGTTTATTCCTAGGGGTGGCACTAATGCGAGGGTACTTAGGATTTCGGTCCTTAGTTTGGGTCTTCGGGCGATGGAAAGTGACAGTTGTTCGGATCTTCTTCGCCTTCTTCTTAATAGCAGAGCCCGACTTGACTGCCTTAGCAGCTTTCAAGGCATGTGCCTTTGGATCAGCCTTCTTCTCACCTAAACAGTAGACACATCAAGTCATATAAACACTAAATCCCTTACTAAATCCCTATGAATCTAAAATTCGATCGATACGGAGAATTCAAGAGGCAAAGAGATGAACGTCAAGTTACCTTTTGGAGGGGCCATTTGATGCAGAGGGGAAAGAAACGCTACCTGGTGCAACATAAGTGCAGTGCACCATCCATGTGTATGTGTAATAGAGAAGCATGATTGCATTAGATCTCATGCATAAATATGTGTGCCATGACTTTGTAATAAACCAATTCATTAAAAGCATAATGCAATGAAGTTCAGAATTGGTTTTTCTCTCATTGTTAAGATTGAATATGAAAAGATCCTTATCTTTTCCAAGTACTGCAAGAGTGTTTGACAATTGATCAATCATTGTAGATAAAAAGAGTTGCTAGATAACAAGACAAAGATAATAAGAAGACAATTTTATTGATTTCGTACATGGGGTGGTAGAACACATCATGCTAAATGAAGATAATTTTTTGGATTTCGCTTTTAGATTACATTTGCACAGATGTTAGGCTCAAATAAGGTATCATTTTGATCTTACAATTATGGAATCACAATTCCATATGCTTCACATCTTTGACATTGTGTAGTCCATCACTTCTACTAGAAAATCTACAATTATGGAGAAAATAGTCTGAATTAGCAAACAAAACAGGAACAAAATGGAGTATCAGAAATCAAAAGAAAACGGTGATGCCGATGAATTATGACAATCAACCTGCATCTTCCTTAGTGAAGCAAAGTGGAGGTGTAATCCTTAAAACATTTCCATAAAAGCCACCTTTCCCAACGTGGAGGTGTAATCCTTAAAACATTTCTATAACAAGTTGAGTCAAGCGCAAGTGGTTGGTGTGTAGAGTGTTTAAGTGTTGTAAACCTTAGAGTACCGAATTCAACTCTTAATGATTTTAAAAAAAGATAGAACCTTTCATTTGTTCTAGGATATGCAGATTTTCATCTTTTGCAGGAATCTTCAGCTTCCGATCTTTCACTAGTTCAACTCCTAGCAACATTCCCCTTCCCCTTACATCTCCAATTACTGCCATAAAAAATCATGCTAGTACTATTAGTATTGATAATCCAAACAAACAAAAGATGAAAGAAAAAGAAGCTTACTCTCATGCTTTTCCTTTAGCGAGTTAAGACGGTCCTTTAAATATGATCCAACAACATGTGCATTTTGCTGAAGTTCATCCTTCTCAATTACATTGAGAACAGCTAATTCAGCAGCAGTACAAACAGGATTTCCTCCAAACGTGCTAAAATAGTATGCATATTTCAGAACTTTTGCAATCTCACGAGTTGTTACCACTGCACCAATAGGCGCGCCGTTTCCAATTCCCTGATATAAATCTTGGGGTGATAGACTAAATTGTAAATAAACGGCCAAATGCATAAACAAAAATGATATGATAAAAATCTTATCACAGAAACTCAATAAAATAAAATATTGGTGGAAAAAAATGCAAAGCAAACAAATTATCAAAACCTTGAAAAGAAACACCAGCAAAAACAACGATCAGAAAATCCTAAGCTACTGAATCTTTCAGACCAGCACTCATGTGTTCAATCATTCAGATCAGCCACATTTCCTGGTAATAATCCTATCTGTTTTTTCTCTCTCAACAATGGGTGATTGGTGGCTGGTTGTGCTTGCAATCAATTGATGCCCCATGCTTAAATGAATAAGAAAACGAGTCCCTTGCTATGTTGCAATGCACACATGCAATAATAACTAGGCTTTATATTCATTCATCTTTGACTTTCACCAAAAACTATACAGTTTCTGCAGTTTATTTTGACCAATACAATGAGCATATTTCAATAAGTGAAATATCCATATTCTCAGTACAAATGGAGAATTTGAAGTTAGCAACTGTGGTAAAAAAAATTGTCGAGGACAACCTCAAATGAATCAGAAACTGTCAGAATTATATTTCTGCCAAAGATTGTCGAGGACAACCTCAAATGAATCAGAAACTTTGTCAGAATTATATTTCTGCCAAAGATAAATGAACAAAAATTGTGAAAAGTAATTATTCTTTTCATCAGGTCAAGCCGTTTTCTCTGTCTTTCCATGTTCCTTACTACTAATGATGTTTTTGAAATTTAGAATGCCAGTGAGTCCACGTCCCCGAGCAAGCTGTTCCAGTTCTTCAAATCTATGCTTAAGAAGTTCTACTTCTTCTGCCAATTCATCATTTCTTTGCCTCATAGCCTAAAGGAATGAAGATAATGATTTGTATATTAAACTTCGACTAATAAATATCTTTTCTCAGTAAACTTGAATTGGAACTAGTGTCAATGTCAATGATTATACGAATAAGGGGGAGTACAAGTTGTTGTGAATTACTAATATTAACATAAATCACATTTTATTTGACTATAATGCTCTAGAAACCCCAATTCAAATATATAGATAGATAAATTACCAGTCCTTAAATATATCCCTTAATTTAAGCATAAGCTAATCCAGAATTGTAGTGATATCCATTTTAAACATAGCACGTTGATAAAATTGTTAATACAGTCCTTCAGCATCCTTTTCTTAAATGGTCTATCACAATCCACTGATAGAGAAGTTTCCATTCTCAGATTCAGCATGACTGTCAATTTAACTATTTCAAAAGTTTTAAAACAAAACATTATGCAACCTTTGGGAAACAATGATATAGGGTTTAAATTTATCAAAAGCTCAAAACAAAGTATTCATGTATCTTGGTAAACCTCAAATTTAAAGCCCTATGTATCATAACCTATTCAATTTGGTCAAGGTGGTCCAAGAAGAGCATATTAAGGACACCAAATAAAAGAAGAAATTGCATCAAAGATGGTATGGCATTGGTGTAACACTGTAAACTTCTGTATTAGAAAACGGGTAGCAGATGGAAAATGTAACATTAGCATTGGAACTTAAGAAGCATGATAAGATAATTGAAATTAAGAGGAAATAATATATATATATATATATATATATATATATGCAATTTTGAAAACAAGAACCGAAATAAATAAATAACAAAATTGAAAGGGAAAGAAAACTTGACATGTTTGAAACTAAGAGGACACAGTGTCAAATATATGTGTACTAAATGATTATGTGAAATTACCTCTAGATCTTTTTTTCGTAGCTCCTCCTTCCGTGCTTCAGATCTAGCACTTCTTTGTACCTCAAAGATCAAGAAAAGACCTGAAACCTATGATCAGTACATATGCAAGCAATCAACAACAAGGCGTGTGATTGTATACACGGGTCATTTGAGTAGAAAATGAATTCTATTCTCAAGTCCTGTGTCTGAGTCAATAACAGTATAACTCAATTTTTGACCCCCAACAAGTATGTTGTATTTGGCTCTACAATACTATTTTGTTGAGTGACAAAACAGAACAAGACAAATTTGATTCATGATTATAAACATATTCCACAACAGAGGAACTCAAGTAACCAACAAAATTGACCAACTCTGTGTTTGTCAGTAGTGTCACGATTTGTCAAGTTTTTCAAATTTTGCCTTAACATGTTTGTATCCTGGATCCATAACTCGTTATAGTTTAAGAGTTAACTCATTTGCACAACATCTTACCAACTCATTAGTCGAATATAAAAACTAACACCAAGTGTCAAGTTTGATGTGAACTTTCAAAATTTCAGTAACTACCAACACAAGGTATAAACCTCAAAAGTCAAAACAGCTAACAAAGAGAGCAGCAAAACTTTTTCATTCAATGTAATTTCCCCTCAAAACGCAATCGTGAGAAATTCAAATTTTACACGGACCATGCTTGATATTTTGAATGCAGTTTGTTAACCATGTTCCATTTCACAGAATAACTTTCATTTATCGCTTTTAGTTCTTAGCAAAACTCTATATCACCTAGCAGCGTGTGGCAAATTACCACATAAATGAAATTCATGTCTTCAATAATAATGAAGAATAAGTAAAATAGCTTTAGGCAATTTCAAATTATAAGTCCATATTACCGAGAAGACAAAGAGTTCTCCAATAAGGTCTACAGCAGCTTGAACAGCTTTTTCCTCATTCAAAGGGCGAATCTCAACATCCGTTGCATGACCATATATACGCCTTTGTATCTTTGTTGTGATTTGATGATTACACTGTTTCAAAAATAAAAGGTAAGAAAATCAACGTTATAGTTCCTCTTAACTTTACATCCAATATCAATGTACAAAATACAAATCAGTATTAATATTATAGTTTCTGTAAAACATAGTTATACCTAAATCATAAAGCAGATCACAGACTGATTCATTTAAAACAGGACTTGTCACAGTGAGTAGAGAAGAATAAAAGCCAGAAGAAATCATCAATGTTCTAACTGGAAGAAACCAAATACACGCTCGCCTTGACGTCCTTTCACCATCTTCACGGCAGCTGAAGCAAATTCGGCCAAATCTCAACACTCAGAAATGGCTCTTTTAGGGTTTTATGAAAGATGGAACGGTTGAATGAAGTTGTTTTGGCGGAAGCTTGTTTATGGTGAGGAGGGGAAATGATGGCGAGTTGCAGGGGAAAAGCGGTGTTGGATGACTACCGGAGGGAGTTATAACAGAGAGATGACGGAACAAAGGGAGTAATGGAGTGAGACAGGGGGAGTTTGGGAGGAGACGAATGGAGAAGAAGATGAACAGCGATATGGGTTTAATTTTGTGTTTCTGGAAATCTGATTTAGGGGTTAGGGGTTTAGAAATAAATTAACAAACCAAAGGCAGCGCTTTCAAGAAGCGCTGCTAAAGGTACCCCCCTTTAGCAGCGCTTTAGGCTTACCCCACCTTTAGCAGCGCTTTTAGATTTACACAAAGGCAGCACTTTCAAGAAGCGCTGCTAAAGGTACCCCCCTTTAGCAGCGCTTTAGGCTTACCCCACCTTTAGCAGCGCTTTTAGATTTACACAAAGGCAACACTTTCAAGAAGCGCTGCTAAAGGTACCCCCCTTTAGCAGCGCTTTTATTAATTTTTTTATTTTTATTTTTTTTAAAACCCTATAGCAGCGCTTAGGGAGAAAAAGCGCTGCCTTTGATAAGGCCTATAGCAGCGCTTTTAATAAGCGTTGTCTAAAGTTTTTTTTTGTTTTTGGATACCTACAGCAGCGCTTTTGCATAAGCGCTGTCTATGTAGCGGTGCCAAAACTCGTTTTTGGCGTAGTGAAACCACTACAGACCATAGATATAGACTCGAGTACTTTATTTCCCTTCAAACATTGTCCGTAATAGAGATAACCATAAAGATGATTGATATGTGCTCCAAAAATTATCTTGAAGGACATGAGTGACATAAACGTGATTTTTCCCTCCTACATATACCAGAGTAATATCTATGGACCCCTTACTAGAGTATGAGTGTAAAATTCATGGTCATGTTCAAATAAGTCAATATGAGATATTGATCTTATTTTTTATCAAGTATACTAGAGTAAGGCATATGTTGTGTTTGTTAAAAACCAAGGGATTTGATATAACATGCAAGAGGCATTCAATATGGAAGGTTATTTCTCCATCAAAGTTGCTCCATTAGGAGATAATCTTTGTTTACTAAAGGATATGGTGGAAGGAGAAATGTCAGCTCTCATGAAGGATGAGAAGGATGAATGTGCGAGAAACACAAGAAATAGGGGTTTGAATTGGGTTAAACCAAATATAATATTTTCGCAACTTAAAAACAAAGCTAACAAGTGAATAAAAATAAGTGAACACAATTATTTTTATCTTGGTTCACTGTTAACTAAGTTACTACAGTTCATCCCACAAGGTGATTTACCTTATCCATAAGGACTTAATCCACTGATTACAGACAACCACAATAAGTCAGATCAACCTTGTTGACAACCTTAATAAGTCCGTCGATCCTTATTGTCAATCCACAATGACGGTATTCAAAGTCTTCTTGAGAATCTTGACTACACCTAATTTCTCAAAGAACCTATTAACAACTGTTGATTACAAAGATGTACATATGAAGATGTTTCTAACAAAAAAATTACACAATGTTTAAGTACAACAACACAAAAGTGCTGATAGCAAGACATGAACAAAATCTCATTGCTAATATACAAAACTATATAAATAATATCTCAAAAGAGTTTGTGAATCGCTTTAGCGTAGTTTTGTAGAACCAAGATTCATTTTTCCAATTCTTCCAAGTCCTCCTTTTATAAATGAAAAAGAGATATGTTGGAGGGAAGAATAGGAAACATAAAATCAGTGTTTTTGTCCCCAACGGTCATGGTGGGAATGGTTGACAACATAGTACAAAAGGATTGTCCTTACACCATCCTAGCAGAGTAGTGGTTACAATGTACTTTGTACTTTTATACTCACCATCTCACGCAAACCAGTCTTGATCTTTATCTTCTATTTCTTCAGAGGCTTCTGATGTATGTTGATGAAACATGTTGTAGAAGGATCAGAACTTGAATCTTCTTAGCCTAAGTCTTTGTGTCATACCTCAAATTTGACCCATCAAATAATCACATTATATTACTTTTCTTTTGATCAAAATTATTTATATTGTGGAGGTTTAGACAGGGAAGAGGGGTGTATTGATTTAAACGGACCATCAATATGTACTGGTCCATTAAGGTTTCATTCTTTTTGAGAGGGGTGCATTTTTATATAGAGAGGTGCACGCTATTGAAAAACTTTAGGCCATTTCTAAATCAGAAAGGGCCCATACAAAATATTTAGTCCATTTTCGGAAGGGGATGCACGCTATTGAAGTAATCTTGGGCCATTTCTAAATTAGAATGGCCCATTTAGGTGGAATGATGTATAAAACAATTTATTTTGTTTAAAGCCCAATATAATTAAATCAGAGGGTCCATTTACGCATAGAAAGAGGGGTATTGTTTTTGAGATGAGTGACCCAATAGTTAAACATTTGGCCCATTTCAAGTCTTTATTTCAAACTGCATTTTGTTTTATTAAAATTATTTTTATTAAATGTTACATAATATTATTTTTGTTATAATTAAATATTTATTTTATTAAATTGGTTAAATAGGCCACCATATGATCCGTTATACGCCCAGATCAAAGAAAATGCTTGGCCCAAAACCGAGTCAAACAAATGTGCATTGTACTAATCATGAAAAGAAACATTCTTTTTATTGCTAGAAACAATTACTGTTTAGGTTGAAATCCAATACAATCAAACATTAACATTTCTGAACTATCTGAGGGTTTACAAGAGCATAATGAAAACAGATCGAATCAAAACTTTATTATAAATCAGATTTTATAAATCAATACAAATGGAATCAAATACTAATTTACAGGACCAAATCAAATGTTAACAGAATCAAAATCCATAATTCCCTAAATCATATCTAAAAGTAACAATAACATTTAAAAACTTCATAAATCAACTAACTCAAAACACTATAAAAAAAACCTAAAACTAATACAGAAAGAGGGGGGGGGGGGGGGGGAAATTGGAGGAGAAAATTATTACAGAGGAGGGAAATTCTACGAAGAAAATTGGAGAGGGAGATACTATAAGAAAAGAGAAGATCTGGAGCCTAGCCATTCGTAAGACCGTGTCCTTGCTTGATATTTGGGTTTTGAAATCTGAAACCCTAAATATGTGGTTCCACTGCCGCGCCTGCATCATCACCATCACCATCATCTTTATTGCCACCGCACCTGAAAATAAAAGTGGGAGGGGATTAGCAAAAATGAGATCGAAACTCAGAGCTACAGAGAAACACACTAAAGGTAAGTTACTGCGAATACACAGCTTTTGCAATTTATTTTGTTGTATGTCACATTGATTTGGAGTTTTGTTGGGATATTAGAGGAGAAGGGTTTAATCTGGGCTTTTGTTTGGGGGGTTGGGGTTAAACGGTGGAGATTTGGGGGTTATTGGTTGTGCTAGGGTTTTTGTTGTATGGAGAGAGATGAGAGAAGAAACAGGGCTGAGAGAGAGGGAGCGAACAAAAATGAAAAGAAATATTTTGTAAAACAAAATTATATTATGTCTCATGATCCAATGTCTTCCATACCATGATAGTTACCTTGCATGATTCAATCATCATCGTACGATCATCATTACGCGGTACGAAAACGCATGCCCATCACATTACAGTACTCCCGCCCGTATGAGGTCCAAGCGGACCTCCTCCCTAACACTTGTTGTCTTGAGCCTGACCCAATCACTAGTAACACCCCTTTTTGTTTTTGTTTGCTAAACACGTTCAATTTCACACCCTTAGGCCTAATGGGCCAAGTCCAAAATCTGGACTTAGGTCCCAACTGCTTTATACACCCCCAGTTTTATTGCGCCTCTAAAAAACATACCTCCCTTGTCTTTTGGGCCTGAATTCAATATTTGAATTCAGGACCCATGCTGTTAACACCTCCCATTTTTACTAGCCTAACATGATTTACACCCCCCTGCATTTTTTAATTTATTTTCTTTATTATTTTATTATAATTATATTTTTATATTTTCTATTTTAATATATTTATAAATTTAATGTTATTTAATATTATTATTATTATAAATCAAGTAATATTTTTACTAAAAATGCATTCAAATATTTTATTTATTTATTGCATTAAATTATTTTTGATCATGCATTAAATAAGATTTTTACAATTAATACATAAAAAACATTTAACCAATAATAAATTATTTTCATAATCAAAATTAATTCGACAATTAAATTTTTGAAAAAGGATTACAAATATATTTTAGGATTTTTAGGGTTTTTTTTTGTTTTTAGATTTTTTTTGTTTATTTAATTACTTATTTATTTCTCTATATTATTCATTGTATTTATTCATTTGCGGTGGGATTTTATTATCGCAAAAATATTTTCAAAACCCTTAGAAAGAAGACTCGTCTATTAGCCAAGGGGATACATCAGCCCGATAAGTTTATGTGACGATTTCGCCTAGAGTTGGTGTAATTCCGCAAAAGGAACACGTCTCAAGAGACATCCTCTTGGGGGGTAGGACTTTGGAATGAAACTTATGACTCTTTGTATAACCCTAAACCAAAATATCATGACGAGACCTTTCATGACCTAGAGACGAGAGTTTCGATCTACAAAGAGGCTCCACTTAAGGGAGGCCCTTGTGCTTTTCCCTCTAGTGTTATTCATGATACCCTTAAGGAAACCACCTTATGGGGAGGATAGAAAATCCGTAGGCCAAAACTGGGAGCCTACATTTTAAGGGTACCTTTCATAAAACCACTTCACTAAGCTCTACATTCATGCATTCATACATTTTTGCATTTCATATATTTATCCTCCATTTCTTTTCTTTTTTGTCTTATTCACATGGATAAACAAGTAATAACAAAAG